GTCCGGCGGGGGCGCAGGGGAGACTCGAATGGAGACGCGACTGGAGACGCGAGGCGAGACAGACTGCCGTAACGCGCGTGTATGCATGGTTGCGGCCCGCCCTATCCGCTCGCGACAGAGCACGGTCGCACGGTCGCACGGTCGCGAGAGAGGGTAGGCGCAAGTGGTCTGTGGTGAGACGCTGAGGAGGCATCGCGCATCGCGTCCAAAAGTTTGAAGGGCAAACTGCATAAAGTACACGTGGACACCCGCGTGCTTGCAGTGAAGCCCCCCAGTGAAGCGTCATGCAGTGAAGCCCCCCCAGTGAAGCGTCATGCAGTGAAGCCCCCCCAGTGAAGCGTCATGCAGTGAAGCCCCCCCAGTGAAGCGTCATGCAGTGAAGCCTCAGGCGGCGCTCGTACCGCCTCACGCGCTGCCATGTGGCGCCGCCGCCGCTGCCACCGACGAGAATGGCACAAATCCGGGAATTTCCACCCCGAAACAGACCCCGTTTCTGCTCCGTCAACATCATCCCAAAAATTTTCACCGCGCCGTCTCGAGTCCGCACTACCCTTCGGGAGGTGAACGGTAGCGACTCGCGACTCACGACTCACGGCACGACTCACGAGATCCGCCCACCAAGCAATCCATTCCAACCCTGGAATCGCCAAAAATACATAGATGGCATACACCTCCCGCGGGGCTCGAACCCGCGACCAACAGATTAAGAGTCTGTCGCTCTACCGACTGAGCTAGGGAGGCTAATTGCTGTGCCGGCATAGAAGGTCGGGATGTTTTTATACCACATATACCGTTTCCGTACATTAATTTAAAACGCCGAATTAATTAATTCAAATCCTTATTCTCTCCTCTTTCTCTCAGAGCTCCCGAAAAAAGACAACAATCCCCCACAAACATGTGAGCACGTTTCAATCCCATTTTTAGCCGCCCACCATTGATCGCTTATCACATTTTCTCATTTTTCACACTATACCTTCTTAACCTCTCGAAACTCTAAACGTTTCGCACTAGCGACGCCCGTCCCATCCGCTCAACGCCTTACGTTTTCACACTTGAGACTTCCTACTTGCATGCAATCACTTGTATCTTGTCTTGGTAACTTTCAGACGTGCCAACCCATTGTTAACCTCAAGTGCTCAAGTCAACACATCACAAATTCCTCTCTACACCCTCTCAAACCTTTTCTTAAACATCCCTAATCAACCTCTTAATTACCCTCCGTTTAATTACCTACCCACCCATTCAGGTCACAACTTTTCCTTGTCCAAAAAATGATCATGTCAAAACAACATATCTTTTTGCATATATATATATGATATCGACATCTTCCATCCCATGTCCTTGGGCCTGTATACATCAAGAAAGGATATGTCCACTGCCCTCTTGAAGCCAAGTGGAAAGGTAACTCTCTTGAAACCATTCATCTAGTCTCAAACCACAATTTTGGCTCCCTTCTCAAGTCCTCTATGCCCAGCACGTCCTGCCTTCTTACACCCTTTTACACATCACATTTTCACGACTGGTCTTCATCCTCGCCCTTTCTTCACGCCCTACGTATACGTATTGCTCAACGCGATAACCACACTATCGCAGCGCTTGCTCAAGCTTTACCATATGTTGGTACTGCTTACTTTAACAAATTCCATGCCCATGTAGACTTGTCATTCAAACTCTCAACCCTTTTCAGGCCAGGAGAAATGGCCACTTGGGCTCAATTTATTGCTGAAAAAATTGGAGCTATCAAGTCCACATCTAGCAGCGCTATGCACCATTCCAAGGTGTCAGCTTCAACGGCGGGAGACGGTTTAGCCACACAACCGTGCCGGTCCCCTCTAGAAACGAATCTTGAGTACGCAACTTTCCAAAATGAGTCTCGTCTTAGCACAATCACTCGCCTTGCTCAAAATTTCGACAAATTATTCGACAAGACTTATTCATTAATTAATAAACAAGATTCAAGAAGTTGTCCGTAAAGGCACGAAACCGCGTGTTTTGGCGACGTGATTATTGCTCATATTTTCTAAACGCAAAAATTTCAGACAACGCGTTTGGCAAAATTCACATCATACCGAAAACTAGGGGCATGTGAGTTTTCAAAGAGTTTCACATCCGCCTGATCACAGCAGTGCCGGATCGACCCGTCTTGAAGGAAAACGAAGTGGGTTTTCCGTTCTTTTCATCATCACAAGCGAGTCTCAGACTGCACGGGTCGTATCGATATGCGTCATGGACGCCCCTATCGCTTCATCTGCGCAGAGTCCATCAACGGATCAAAGCGCGACAAGATCTGCCACAGATGCCGCCGAAGCAACCACGAAAGATAGACAAGTAGAAGCTTCTAAAAAGAGGTCCTCTCCGGACGGCCCCCCTCAGCCTGTCAAGAAGACGAAACATATCGCTCTTTCAACTGACAACCTTTCTATCCTTGTGGCGGGCTACAATATTCGCTTCAGCGAGTATTCGCGCAGGTGCACGTGATCCGTCGGGCGGCACAACGTTATACCAGACTTGCGTTTATTGCGGGCAGGCAACCTGCTGGAGGTCATTCCGCAAAACCCGTGGCGGAATTTTTCAATCTCGGGTTTACTTTACGTCCAGCGATTTTGTGAACTGCTCTGCTCTCCGCCGTCGCGTGCGCCGCCGCTGGGCCCGACCGCGCTCCACGCGGCTGGGACAGAGGCCCACAACTCGGACACGAATCCTACATCACCTGCTCCTTGATATACGGTAAAGTGTCTAGCATCGGCCGCCAAGAATTGAGTAGACAAGATGAAAACGAAACAATGTTTAATAGTACACCGTAATACTTTCGTGTCTCGCCTCTGTTGGGACACGAGAACAATTCTGCTCGACCTGTCTATTCACGGGGTCTCACACACGCCCGCGTCCAGATAACCTCATCCCCAACATGCCGCTCCACTAGAACAGTCTCCCCACCCCCCGTGACCAAGGGCAGAGCGGCATATTCGGCAATTCCGTTCCCCTGCCCTGTAGAGGCCACGGCCACCACCAAACGCTGCAACAAACACCGTCCCACAAAAACACCATTTACGCTCTGCAACCAAGCCGCAAGCGTCCAACGCACCGAGCCGCGTCACCCCGACGCCACCTCCTCCACGGCTGCGCACGCGAACGCCTCGAGCCGAAACATGACCACCATCTTCGCGTCATCGACCGCCGGCTCAACGGGCTGTCCGCTCACCACGTCGACGAACCGTCTGCGCCGCTCCCGCACGTCGTCGACCCACGCTTCGGGCCCGCTCTCCGCGGCCAGGCATGCGGCCGCCTGCCGCACGGGCACGGCCGCCCACTTGACGACCCCGGTCAGGTTGGCGACGCACAGCGCCCTGTCCCTGGTGTCGTCCGGCGCGCCTCGTCCCATGCACAGCACCCCGACGTCGCCGGAGTCCACGGCTTTGGCGCCGCCCTCCCGCATCCACCGCCGCGTCCGCCGCACTCGGTTCAGTCGACGCACCATCTCCGTGGCTTCGTACCCTTCGCTTACCGCCCGGTCGAACGCCTCCCGCCGCAGCGGGCCGCGCTGAAGCTCGCGCGCGTCGTAGCAGCTCCTCTGCGCCGCGTACACCCCGAGCTTCTGGAACGTGTCGTGCGAGCGCACCATTTGCGCGTCTGCGTGCGACGCCTGGCTGCGCGCCCCGATCTCGGTGCCGGCGTAGACTAGCGGCGTGCCGGGCGTGATGTAGAGCAGGAAGAGCGCCGTCGCGATGCGCCGGGGGTGCGCGTTCAGACAGTCGGCGAGCCGCCCGCCGGCAGACATCCCGTTCTTGTACACCGCGCCGCCGTGCGTCTTGATGTACTCGCACATCCACACCCGCACTTCTGGCTCGAAGAAGCCCATGAAAGTCTCGTCGTGGTGCTCGAGCAGGTTTATCCACGTGCTTCCGCCGGGGAGTGACGGGCTGCGAAACACTTTTTGCCAGTAGGGGGCTACTGTTTGGAAGTACGTTGCTTCGCGAAGCGCCCCCTGCATTTCAAAAGACAGGATGGCGTCACCTTCTGACGTCGTCCGCGAGCTTGTGATCCACGTTTCCGAACCGGCGTATTGGGAAGCGTTGGCCATGTCCCGGACCACCTCTGGCATCAGAATGCAACGGCTGTTGATGTGACTCAAAAACGACTTGAGGAGTCCCTGCAAAGCATGGCACTCCGGTAGACCTTCGCTCGCGCATCCAGGTTGCTTGATCCAATGCGCGATAGCATCCATCCGCTTGCCTACAACGCCTTGCTTCACTTCGCGGGCGAGGACGCGAAATAGCTCACTCAGCACGTCAGGATTTTGCAAGTTCAGATCCACTTGGAACGGAAAGAATCCTCGATAAAACTGATATGTTCGTCCATGTATCTCCGCCCAGAGCCCGTGAGTACGGTCAATGTCAGGAAAAACGACTACTCTTTCCGTAATGGTGCCGTCTGGATCCCGGTATTGGCAGACAATATCACCATTGCGATCCCATTCAGCTACTTTTTCACGCCCGTTGCGCTGCACGTAGAAGGCAAGGTATTTCTCGTCCCCGGCCAATGCTTTCTGAAACCAGTCATGAGCTGTGGATGTGTGATTAAAAACGGCATCCGTGATAACACGCATGTTTAAATCAACCGCCTGTTTCATGAATCGCTTAAAAGCTTCTTCCCCTCCCAAGCTTTCCCGCGTTACAAAATCGGAGACATCATACCCCCCATCCGCCATTGGAGATTCATAATGCGATAGCAAGCAGACGTTTCTGAAACCTAGATGGTCGCGAATGTAAGGTAGCATATTACTAAGACTATCAAACCCTGCACCGCATTCTGGCGCGTCTTTCGGTACACCTGTCCACTGCACATACAGAAGATACCAAGGCTCTTTATACCACTCCACAGGCAAACTCGCTTCGAAAGAGAGGATTCGAGACGGCATCGATTCCTTCGCTGCGACAACCTCGTCATAGAAGGACTTAAACAATACTTCCCAATCGCCATGAATGCCATCGCCAACAATAAGCTTGCACATGTTCTTCACCTTGCCAATATCGCTATTGTCCGTAAATCCCCTCAACAGCGCCGGGAAAGCAAGGCCGACCGCTTGGTCCTCCGTCAGACCGGACACGACCTGGACCGCGCGTTCTTCCTGCACTGAAATGCGCTTCGGTAAAGAACGCCACATACCCTCGTTGCGAGTTCGTCCCGGGTCAAGAGGTGTGCGACTTTGGTCGGGGTCCACACCGACGGCACTTAAACGCTCCCTCAGCAGGGCGATCTCGCGCCTCTGCGCCTCGACAACTTCTTCCAGACTCTGCCCTGCCTTCGTATCAATGGTTTCATGATGGTCCTCGCTCTCCTCCGTCTCTTTCCCTTCTTGCCAGCGATTTGGAAACCTCTGAGCTTGATCCATCAAACCAATTCATACTCCACCTTCACGAAGGTGCCCGGCAAGCAACACCGAAAATTCCTTTCTGAACTTGCAGACGCAACGACGAAGCTTTCCCGAACGCGGCAACCCAACCTCGGTATCGGATGCAAAACGAAGCCCCCCGAGCCGACAGAAAACAGGTGAAGGATGTACGAAAAAAAAATCCGTTCAAAATTTTCTGCGGCAACCATAATCTAACCGTCCAACTTACATGTACCCGCGCCGTCGTGGAGGCGCCTTGTGAGAACCAGTCCTCGTGCTCCGATGTCCGCTGCGCCCACTACTTCTTGCCATCTTCCTCGTACTGTTCCTCGTACTGTTCCTCGTACTGTTCCTCATACCGGTCCTCGTATCGTTCCTCTTCCTTCGCCTTCGTCTATACTTCTCCTTCTTCCGTCTGCTCCTTCTGATTTTTTTTTCCTTGTGCTTGAGATTGTGGAGGTCTGAGAAGACGGTATCAAAGTCCATGTCCGCGCCGGATCTGTGAATTTCGTGTAATGCGTTAAATCTCTTTCGCAGCTTCCTCCCCTTTCGCCAGAGCTTGAACCCCGTCCAGATGTCAACGACTGGCATGTTGTGATTTTGTGTGCAGACGCGAGAGATTCGCCGTAGCTAGCCAGCTAGGTGCGTTGGTTCCGCTTGTGTCATGTGAATCAGGCGGAGGAGTAGCGCGTAGAAGATTGGAAGTTAAATTTACGTGGAGGGCAATACAGACGGGCTATATTTAAAAGCAAGAGAGATGGGGAGATTCCCAGTTGAGTGCGGCAACAAGGAAGAGTCCGCGCGAAGCAACAAGGAAAATATTCTCCACGTGGCGATATGTAAGAATATCATACTGTAATCATTCCAGTCCTTGTGTCGGAAAGGGACCTCACGTAATTCCGGCCTTCGACAGTGACTGTGTGTGCGCCGCTACTGGCCCGCACGGTCGTACGTCCAACAAGTTGGCGAGTTGTGGCCAACCGGTGAAGGAGAGGACTCGCATGCATGTGTACAGTGTACTTTAAGGGTTAGAATGCTTCGCAAGAACAGAAGATGGGTGCCAACAAGACGGACCATTGTACAGCTCACAGTATGCAAGGTTTGACCTTTCCGCGCTCCGCTAATGGGGCGGCACGATTCTGCCGACATTCTAAAAGGGAGTCTCTGTAGATAATGCTGTACAGCTGCAGATCATCCCAGACTTAGGAACGGGCCTCTTAGGAACGGGCCATCCCGGACTAAGTCCGGGATGATTCTTTCCCGAATCTCCCTATCGGATTGCCCTATCGCACCACTCGTAACTTCTACCTTATTCATTGGACAGTTCGAGGTTAATCTTTGACATTAAACTTTATCTCCTGACTGTAAGTAGTTAAGAGTCTCAACAAGTGCAGGTGAGCTACTGGTTATTATTCTAGTAGCACAACAATGTACACTGTACAGTACTACCATTTACAGTGCTTTTCTTGAAAAATGCAATTTAAAGGCCTGGGAGATACGCACTGCTGGAAGGCATGGTTATGTTGGGACGGGCTCTCAAGAGAAGAAAAATTTGTGATGGACTGCGAGTTAGGAACGGCCCTCAGGGCCGTTCCTAACAGGGCCTGGCTGTTGCGCCCGCACTCCAGTGCCATGACATTCTGTGATTCGAGATGACACAGTAATCATCGCGAGGTCGTGCATGCGCTACGGTTGCCAGCTCACACCACGCGTCAAGAAATGATCTAATTTTTGATAATGCTGTCGATTTTACTATCCAACGTTATTAACGATGGCTGTGGAAACAAGACACTCGCAGCCCCTTAATCGGGATCGACTGCATGGACCACGTGTACTTCCTCTCTCCCCATGAGAAGAGGCCGTCCACCACGTGCGTACCTATACTGTAGCAACTCATTCGCAAATGATACATGTACAGGGACTTTCGATAGCAATACGAACATGGACAACTACCCAAACTTGAGGTGTCTGAATCCTGTCTTGAAAGAAACTCCACCTACACAGCATCAACTTCAACATCAGCACGCCAAATATTATCGTCAAACTTCCCACCAACGACGATGCCCTTGAACAAATCTTTTGTCGCGCATATCGGGAATTCCGCGCGGTTGCATACGCTTGGTTGCCCAGAGTATCCAGAGCCACCGACCAGGATCAACGCATTGAACCCAACAAAGTCATGCCCGATGCTGAACAATCCACTCGACGGCTTCTTGATCTCCGGTATTTCAAACCTCGATTCGAGCAAGGAAGGGACATCAAGTCCAAGGCGAGCGAGGGAAGGAGTGATTGCCGTTTCTTCCAACTTCCGAAGCAAATCAGTCAACTTCTTGAGCTGGTCATTAAGCTTCTCGTTCACTTTCGAGGTCCCGAAGTTGTCTTCCTCGATTCCGACAACCACGTATACTGCAAGTGAAACTTTGTCTGTACGAACGAAATCAGTCGTGACGGCACCAACCTTCCTTATGAAGCGTCCACTGCACTTTCCCTCTCCATAATCAACACGAGGCAGTTTCCTTCCAATTGTCGAACCGACGACACCAGGGATCACTCTGCCATACAGAACGTAGATAAGGGGGTCGGCACAGCCACGAAAGATACCATCGTCACTCTTGATGACTTTCAGGGACTTGGTCTTCACAGTGAACGTTCCCGGACGAGGCCTAGGAGATGGGCGAGGGGGAAGAGGCGGGAAGCTCGGAATTGGAGGGCATGGTGGGCGAACCATTTGAATAGTTCCATCTGGCATTGTCACTCGCAAGGGATCCGGACAGACCGGAATGGCAAAAGCACCAGAAACGAACGCGATTACAAATACAATGAATGCTTCGACTCTCATTGTGATCTTTGCTCGTGAAAAGATGGTGATCGTGGACAATATTCTCTTCTGCGTAACCTCTTGAGGTTGAATGAGGTCGATATTTGTTGAGATGTTGTGCAGAGATACTGCGATGGGCTTGAAGAATAGAAGTTCAACCATGGACATGCTTCCTTTAAATAAAAGTTGGGGCGAGTAGACAGGCTAAAAGTGTAGCAGACTCAACAAATCTCAATTCGATAGATATTTCAGTAAGAAGCCACAATTTGACGTAGTTTAGGAGGGATTCTTCCCGAAATGAACTGAATCACGAGGAACATGTCCTGGTTTGAGAAAGATGAGAGGTACCACTTCAGATGTGATATAAACAGGGTTTGGTTGCGTGTGGAAGGATATGCCTCACCATTTCAGATCTGCAGAACTTATACTCTCACAGTGTTCTGACCTACGAGCGTTTCCCGAGGGATTCCATTATAATCGGGATTGGAATTCAGATAAACATGGTTGCCTTAGAAAACTGCCTCACTATTACGCATCAGAATGCACAAGACTTCTAGTATAATTTCTTTTGCCACAAGGGCTATTACGTAAGCTGAGTTGCCTTCGAGCTCAATGATATCGTAGGTCTTCCGCATCCGAAACTTCTTATGGTGAAGCATTTACAGCACTCCTTCAGATATTGTTCTAAAAACCCCCTAGTAAAGTATAGTGTATGCAGATACACTCGATGACAGCATGTACTTCAGCAAGCACGGTGATAGAAAGCCCACCCTTTGCCCTGCTACAACTCATGCCTCGGTAACCGCAATGTCCAACATCTAAACACTAGTGTTCCATGTTGCCTCAACAGAGAGTCATAAGCTGTGTGGAACGATTCATAAGATAGGTCAACTTTGGAAATTCTGAACAGAGAAGAAAGCATTCAGCACTCTCCCTTTTTGCAAAAAATTCATGAATCTTGAATGAAACAAAATGTTCGTTCTATCTTCACTTGAATAAAGGGCTTCAACGTGGCACCAGACATACAAACACTTCGCTACTAATGATTGACAGGAAATCGTTGATGCCCAGCAAACAAGAAGTGCCGCTGTTTTGAAATCTCGCCACTTAACTCACGTGAGGATATCTGTGTTGCGCGATTTTTTCTATGGAGAAATCCTCGCGAGCGTCTTCCGCTTACGTCTACGATGAGGTCATTATCATAATGATGCAAGCAACATCAACTGGGTTCATTTATTTTTCTAACGTTGGAGGGGGCCGATGCTATGACACGAGGCAGGCGTCAAGGACTCACACTTGGGCTGGATGTGAAGGGGCCGCGCCGTGACAGGGCATGCGGGAAAGGGTACTAGTGGGGTACCCCCTAAGTTGAACATGATTAGAAAAATAAGAGCATGGCCACTGGGGGTCCAATTTCTCGTTCCATTTCATTTTTTCGATTAGACCCAGATTTCGTCTCGCACCCGTCACATCCAATCCAATTCAAAATGAAACAAATTGGATTTTGGAATAGAACGAGGGAAATCTCAGTCCAAAACAGAAATTTTTGGACCTGAAATTTCCAGGTTCCAATCCATTTGCCATTGAACAGCAAGGACACCCATCGCTCCACAAAGCGCAACATCACCCGCTCTTGCGCCCATAATTCATCCACACTTCTCCTCTTGGCGCCATTTTTCGCCACACTCGAGGGTCAAGCTTGCCAAGCACCATGTTCTCCCGCGAATATTGGGCTCTGCCTCGCGGCAGGAAACTTAAAATCGAAACCGCGACTTAGCACCGGTTCACAAATGGCGCGCAATTGCGCGCTTTACAGCGCTAGCTCCAATGATACTAAAAAGATCGAAGCCGTGTAAAAGAGATCCAGCACATCTTGGCATGTATGTGACTAAACTCCTCCAACAAATTTGCGTAAACAGGTGCTCTCAATTCGCGAAGACCATTCAATGGGCGCGGGAAAAGGATGGACGGAACGTGAGACAGTGGCAGCATGTCGCGCCCTCATTGCAGCATCTGAGGACCCGAGGTCAGGACGCGGTAAAAAGACGAATGTCTTTGAGTCACAGGTACGGGAGGCGTTCGAAAAAATTGTCAGCGAGGAACGAAACAAATCCTCAAGCTTCATATATTACGAACGAACCGGAGACGCCATTATACAAAGGTACAAGAAAGCGCGATTGGCTTGCATCAAATTCGATGGCATTGTATTCGCGATAAAGGCACGTGGGCCGACAGGGTCACCCTCTGAACGAGATGTTGAGAGAGCAGCTCTGGCAGTTTACAATGGAGACTCAACTATCGGAAACATGTACTCATACTTCAGTGACAGTTCTCTCGATTGCGGCACTGCATTCTCGTTTCGTGCAGCTCTCGAGTTTTTACGTGGTACACATGGCTGGGAGATGATCATATCGTCTCGTCAAAAAGCAAAAAAGGCGCGCCAATCTGAGGAAAGTAATCAAGTCTCGACCCAAAGTCGCCAGCCAGCCCTGAGCACCGAAGGTGATATTATTGATAATTGCACTCATATGGAATCTTTGGAATCACCGCAGAGCGCAACAACAGATGTGACCCGAAAATCTCCGGCGGCGAAACAACGCCCTGTTGGAAACAATCGATGTCTGGAAATTACAAAGCAGGTTGCTGCACTACATCGTGGGGCAGACGGAATCGAAAAACTGGCGGAAGCGGCTCATAAGCGAAATAAACTTTCCGAAAAGTTTCTCGAAGTCGAACAGCAGCAGTCTTTAATCAAGCTTTTTTCAATGCCTGGCACAGATCCGGACACGCGAGAAACGTTTATGGAACTTCTGCAGAAACAGGCGTTGAAGACCTTAGAAGAAAAGAATGGGAAGGTCAAAAATGTTGCTCGGTCAGACATCGGCATGCATTCCACTTCTGTAATTACAGCTACTGAGCGCATCAATGAAGTGCCGCTGCGCGGAGATGACGAGGATGAAGCCGGAAATGCACTAATTGCATTATCATCCACCACTCGTTGAAGCGGGGTCGAATAAAGTGGTTTCGAGTAATAGCTAACGCTTAAGCGTTAGCACGGGGAGTAAGAAACATCTTCGTCGCCACAAGCATTAACCTCCATTTGTATTTGTCACTCCTCTTCTTACTCCCTACTGATTTTCACATCATCTGTATACATGTCCCTAGTCTCACCGTTTCCAAACACTCCACTCCGCTATTCATCTCACCATTCCGCTCAAACATCCTGCACCCCAGCCGTCGATTTCTTTCCTCACCGCTTCCTGTATCCTTCCACCTCCGTTGTCGCTCAAACATCCTACACCCCAGACGTCTATTTCTTTTTACTCGCTTTCCGCACCGCTTCCTGTAATCCTTCCCCCTTCGTTGTCATGACTGCAGAGTATCCATCTCTGTCATCCTCCTCACGACCCCTTCTCATAAGCACTGTCCCCTCGACATCCGCGCTATCCCCAACACGCTTCCCGTTACCCTCCAAAGCCTCTTCACATTCCTCCTCCCTTTCGAAAATCAAGACTCAACAAATCAAATCCTCCACCAGATATGCAACCCGATTCTTAAGACACTGTGTGAGGGCCATCGTTGTGGCATTGTTCCAGCATCTTGATGCGAGAGGAAGGTCTTGATGAGATGCATTACACGTGCCGCAACGGGCGTTCTGGTGGGGGCGTACAGTGTACATGGCAGTAATCACGCGGGAGATATAGCATTGTGGAATGAGTGGGTAGAGCCAATGTGTTCACTCTGCGGAGCGGTCCGCTCCTTCTCCGGGAGAAGGAAACAGACAGCAGTAATATACTGTGCGAGGGAGGAATCGCATTGAGCGATCTGATGCCAATCACGTACATTGTATGTGGAAAGGATGGATCAGCGACGGAACGGTTGCGCTGCGGAACGGCGATGATGGTGATTTATTCTCTTGCTTGCTCGATTGCTTACTTACTTGCTTGATTGATTGCTTGGTGCTCTCCCGACGACCGACAACCGTCCCCAGTCCCCAGTCCCCAGTCCGTTGCCGCTATGATACTGTACAGTACCATACGCTACAGTACACTACACACTCAACAGTAAACTTTTATTGTCCGCATCGCCTCCTTTCTTCTTCATCCTGCATGCGTGCATGCAGGATGATGCATCGCGCATATACACATAATCCATCCATCCATCTATCCATCCATCCACACTACACTTCACCAGATACACTACACTTGCCCTGTAGCACATAGATACTACTGTTCCCGTCGCCAGTACACCACACCACACTACACTACACTACACTACACCATGCATCGCATCTCCCCAATTCGCGCTTACCGCAGCACCGCGCGCAGAGTAGAGACACCCGCCTTCTCTTCTCCCACATATCAATCTCCAATACACACACACACATACACACACACGCTCAATTCACCTCTCCCCCTCAAGTGTCCCGTCCACCCACATACACACATACACACACACACATACCGCTCTAGTCTACTCCTCCTCTACAGTCCCCTCCTTTCCTCTCTCCACACATCCCTCCGTCTCCCCCTCCCCCTCCACCATCACCACCACCACCATGCTTCTTCGTCCCCACTCTCTGCCCCTGTTGCTGTTACTGCCGCTGCTGGCAACCCTCTCCGCCCTCCTTGTCCAAGCAACACCACCAACACCACCATCAACCCCAACACCACCATCCGCCTACCTGCGTTCCAACGTCGCCGCATGTCCCTGCACCCTATTTCCGTTCCCGAACGGTGTGGGGATGATTGGGGTGGTGGAGTTATTGGGCGGGAGTGTGATGTGTGTTGAGACACGGGTAATGTCTTTGGTAAAGGCTGGGGATTAAGGTGGGCAGAGGACAATAGACAAGCGTGACGCAGCTGTGCATATAGGTTATCACTGATATAGTGATGGCGGGCGTAGACGACTGGTTTGTGTGAAGAGAGCATAAGGTTTGTGTCGGTCTTGGAGGTTCGAAGGGGGTAGTTGAGATTGAGAGAGTTCCACAGGCTGATGGATCGAGGTGAAGGAGGAACGATGGGTGCGAGGAGCGAGGATGTGTTAATAGTGGTGTCGTGATGGGAGGAGACGGTTATTGTGTGTGGTGATTGAGGTTTCGGTTGGTTCTGGTGTTTTCGCAGTTGAAGCGAAAGCGCTCTTGGGATTTACGCCGCCTCTCCGTGCAC